TGGCTCTGCAGCCTCTGCCTGACTACCCTGTATCTTGGCTTTTTGGCTCTGCATGGTTTCTGTCTTCTTCAGATAGATAAAAAGAATATCAGAGTCTGCTGTTAATCCAGCACTTGTGGATCAGCTGAATAGCAAAACAAGCCAACTCTGCCTGTGTACACTATATGGACAAAAAAGTATTGGGACACCTGACCATTGCACCTAAAAGAACTTTAATGACATTTTATTCAAAAACAATAGCTATCTATATGGAGTTGGTCCCTCCCTTTCCACAAGATTTTGGAGTGTGTCTGTGGGAAATTCTGCTCATTCATCCAGAAGAGCATTTGTGAAGTCAGGCACTAATGTTGAATGTGAAGGCCTGGTTCATAATCTCTATTTTAGTTCATCCCAAAGGTGATTGATGGGGTTGAGGTCAGGGCTCTGTGTGGACAAGTCAAGTTCTTCCACACCAAACTCACCCAACCTTGTCTTTATTGACCTTGCTTTGTGCACTGGGGCACAGTCATGCTGGAACAGAAAAAGACCTTCCCCAAACTGTTCCCACAAAGCTGAAGCATAGAACTGTCCAAAATGTCTTGGTATGCTGACATTTGGAACTAAGGGGTCTTGCCCAACCCCTGAAAAACAACCCCATACCATTATCCCTCTTCCACCAAACTTTACAGTTGGCACAATGCAGTGAGGGAGGTACCGCTCTCCTGCCGTCCACCAAAACCCAGACTCGTCCACCAGACTGCCAGGCAGAGAAACATGGTTCATCATTCCACAGGTCACATTTCAACTGCTCCAGAGTCCAGTGGCAGTGTGCTTTACACCACTGCATCTGACGCTTGGCATTGCTCTTGGAGATGTGAGGCTTGTATACAGCTGCTCGGCCATGGAAGCCCATTCCATCAAGCTCCTGGTGCACATTTTTTGTGCTGAGGTTAATGCCAGAGGACGTTTGGAACTCTGCAGTTATTGAGTTAACAGTGCATTGGTAACTTTTACGCACTATATGGTTCAGCATTTGCTGACCCTGATCTGTTACTTTATTACGTGTTCCGCCATTTTGTGGTTGAGTTTCTGTTGTTCCTAAAAGTTTCCACTTTTTTTACATGGAATATCTAGGGGGGACGAAATTTCACAAACTGACTAATGCATAGGAGGTATCCTATGACTGCACTATGCCTGAATTCATCTTCAGAACGATTCTATCACAAATTTTTGATTTTATACACCTTTAGCAATGGGTCTGAATGGAACACCTGAATTCAATGAATAAGAGGGGTGTCCCAATGCTTTTGTCCATGCAGTGTACCTTCACTGTGAACACAATGCTGCCACTATTCACTAAGCTGATATTGTGGCTCACTTTGTCACCATGTAGCTGAGGCAGTTCAGATCCAGGCTTGATAATATGACTTTCAGCTGGGTCTGCTGGTGCAGGGTCTTACCTAAGCAGCGTAGGTTTTGATATCACAGTGGCTTATAACCTCAGCTTGGGATTATTGCTGTGCAGTGTGGATAACTTCGGACTGGGCCTGCTTCTGAGGACCAAGCAAATAAAGCGCATGGTGTCATCCTACGTGGGGGAGAACATGGAGTTCGAGAGGCAGTACTTGGCTGGAGAGCTGGAGGTAGAGCTCACACCGCAGGTGAGGCTGAAGCTGAAGCACCTCCTCCCCTCAGTATCACATGCATCTAATGGCAGGGGTTGACAGCAGCTGTGCTCCTGCAGGGCACATTGGCGGAGAGGATTCGAGCTGGGGGGGCTGGCGTTCCTGCCTTTTTCACGCCTACAGGTTATGGAACGCTGATTCAGGAAGGAGGCTCACCCATCAAATACAACAAAGATGGCACTGTGGCTATTTCAAGCAAAAAACGAGAGGTGAGTTCGTGGTTTTCACCATAACGCACAGGATCTGTCTGTTATTGAACAGCTCTTTCTGCATTGATGTCATGTGATCACTCTGCAGGTCCAAGAATTCGACGGTCGCTTTTACGTCATGGAGAGAGCCATCAGGGGAGACTTTGCACTGGTTAAAGCCTGGAAGGCAGACAAAGCTGGAAACATTATTTTCAGGTCTAGACCACCAGTCAAATATCAGTTTAAGTTTTGTTTTCTTCCTTTAGCCATAACTCACATACACTCATCAGCTTGTCATTCTTTGTCTCACCACCAGGGTGCAGCATCCACCCTAAACTTTACTTTGTATAGGCAATAGCCATGAGCTGTTTTAAATTGCAACATAATTATCTTGCTACTTCCTGCAGTCTTTACACGCATTCAAATTCTCACTTGTCCTTTTCCGATTATCAGGAAAACAGCGAGAAACTTCAATCAGCCCATGTGTAAAGCAGCCAAAGTTACAATCATTGAGGTAGGACTTCTTCATATTATTTAGGGCTACATTACTGGAATGAGGTGTGTGTACAGGTTAGTGTTGGGTTGAGGTGTGTATCCACTGCACAGGTTAGTGTTGGGTTGAGGTGTGTATCCACTGCACAGGTTAGTGTTGGGTTGAGGTGTGTATCCACTGCACAGGTTAGTGTTGGGTTGAAGGTTGAGGTGTTCTACAGTTTAGGGATGGGTTTACTGAAGCAACTTAATTCTGCTACATACTTGGCTTATGTTCCAATAGGGGACAGGTCTTCACTCAATGTTTATATATGAGTGTTCATACGTGACATAGCAGATGACCAGAGGTGGACGTTCCTTTTGATCCTGGGGGTTGCTGAGTGTTTCTGAGGATTTGTTCATCTCTGCATGGACCAGGTGGAGGAAGTCGTGGATGTTGGGGATTTTGCAGCAGAAAACGTTCACATACCCAGTATCTATGTGGACAGGATTGTGACCGGGGGCAGCTATGAGAAGAGGATAGAGGTGAGCTTGAAGGTCATGACCCTTCACATTGGGATGGGTGACCCAAACCTTCAAAGTACACAGAATGTACTGATGTCTCTTCTACTTTAGCTTCTGACTATTGATCCACAGCCCTGAACCTGTGGCCCAGTGAATTTCCACTTTGTACTTTATTTAGGAGTCTTTTCCATTTAGTGTTTGAAGATGGGATTTTTTACTATTTCAAATGCACATAGATTGATCATTTGCCTCGAACTGTAAGAAAATTTCAAATTAATCAAAAGTTAAAATCCTGGGAGGTGTTTTAACAAAGCTTTGTAAAAATCACTTTGCCCAGTTTATATTTACTTCTGCTGCTGATTATAGTGTAATATAAGTACATTTAGGTCATTGTCTGGAAATCTGTTACAGCTGCTTTATTATGAATGAAGTATGACACGTCTGAGGCCTTGTGGGTGTCAGTGGCTGCTTCATCCAGCAGAGGGCACTATTTTTCCAATAGAAGCGTATTGTTAAGAAGGATCAGGTTGCACCCAAGCCCAAGAATGAGTCGGACCTGGTACGTGAGCGCATCATCAGGAGGGCAGCGCTGGAATTTGAGGATGGCATGTATGGTATCCTTGACCAGAGTTTGACAAACAAGCCTGGGTCTAGTCCCTCTGACTACAGTGAACAGATAGGGCTGTGTGATATGACCAAAATCTCATATCCCAATATAGGTTATTTCGAATCCTGAGAATGATGAATGAAAAATGTATATAAATTGACCACATGGAAAGGCATATTTCTTATAACATTTTAAATTATAGAATTGATAAATAAAAAGTACTTATTTTACTTTATTTAGAACCTTTTTGCAAATTTATTTTATATTGCTGTATCTTATATTGCTGTAAAGAGTGTGATTTGTGACAGTGGAATTAACAAAAGAGCATGTTATGAAACGATACACATTTTTCATTACAGAAAATATATCGTCATCTCACACAGCCCTATGTACAGACATAAATACATTTATTGAAAATTTTATATTAAAATGAATTCTGGTACAGTTTTTGTCGGCCTTTAGATGACAAAGACACATGAAAACCTTGACTAAGACTTTCAGCCAACCTTGGCATTGGGATTCCCATGCTGGCCAGTAACTTCATCAGCCCGGACATCACAGTTCATCTGCAGAGTGAGAATGGGATTCTGGGATTGGTGAGTATCCACCAAATGGACACGATGCTGTGATGATGGATTTTTCTGTCATTTTGGAGGGTCTCTTCTCCACAGCAATCTGGTCTTAAATACTTTTACTACATATTATAGGGTCCTTACCCCACAGAAGAACAAGTGGATGCAGACCTCATCAATGCTGGTAGGTTCCTCTTCCTCCATGCAATCAAGAATTGTGTCTCCTGCAGTTCGTGTCCTTTATTCCTATATTTCTTTCACTCTCCACTGGGTCACCAGGCAAAGAAACAGTGACCGTGCTGTCGGGGGCATCCTACTTCTCCAGTGACGAGTCCTTTGCCATGATCAGGGGGTAACTTGTGTGTGTGTGCTGTGACAGGGCTCAGATGAGTGCAGAGGAGATGTTCATACTGGAAAATCAAACAACATCTGAACTGTTTTGACAAATTTTAGATTATGGTGTTACACATGACAGCAAGTAGGCATCTCCACTGATCATCACTGATGTGTGAAAACAGCAAAATGCCAGCCTGTGCTCCCTGTTGCTGTGGACGAAGCATCCTCATGTGCTCCCTGTCTCTGCCTATAGGGGGCATGTCAACCTCACCATGCTGGGTGCCATGCAGGTCTCGCGCTACGGTGACCTGGCCAACTGGATGATCCCGGTGAGTGTGTCCACCAAAGTGGTGTGTGTGTTTGACAGTTGTGGGGAGACACTGACGCTGGGTGTGACTGTTGCCCCTGTTACCCCCCCCAGGGTAAGATGGTCAAGGGCATGGGCGGGGCTATGGACTTAGTAGCAAGTGCTGGTACCAAAGTGGTTGTCACCATGGAACACTCTGCTAAGGTAACACCATTTTAATGATTGTATTTAATGAGTTTGGTTATCATTTGTCATTTTTTTGTGCCAGCTGCAAGTCAGGTCACATGACTGCCTCACTAATTAGCACCACTTCACTTTCAGGGTGGGAAGCACAAAATCCTGGAAAAGTGCAGCTTGCCACTGACAGGGAAGCAGTGTGTGGACCGGATCATTACAGAGAAGGTCAGGACCCATTTTGCGCATTGTATGCATTCAGTGACTGAACTCCCAGTAAGGTGCATGTGTGTGTTCAGTACTTAAACTGCAACTTCCTGTAGGGTGAATATATGTTCAATAGCTGGACTACAGCTCCCAGTAGGGTGAATGTGTGTGTGTTCAGTAGCTGGACTACAGCTCCCAGTAGGGTGTATGTGTGTGTGTGTTCAGTAGCTGGACTACAGATCCCAGTAGGGTGAATGTGTGTTCAGTAGCTGGACTACAGCTCCCAGTAGGGTGAATATATGTTCAAAAGCTGGACTACAGCTCCCAGTAGGGTGAATGTGTGTGTGTTCAGTAGCTGGACTACAGCTCCCAGTAGGGTGAATGTCTGTGTGTTCAGTAGTTGGACTACAGCTCCCAGTAGGGTGAATGTGTGTGTGTTCAGTAGCTGGACTACAGCTCCCAGTAGAGTGTATGCGTGTTCAGTAGCTGGACTACAGCTCCCAGTAGGGTGTATGCGTGTTCAGTAGTCGAACTACAAGTGCCAACCCCTTCCTGGTCCTTTGTTCCAGGCCGTCTTTGATGTGGACAAAAAGAGTGGCCTGACCCTCATTGAGCTGGGGGAGGGGCTAAAAGTGGATGAAGTCAGGAAATGTACCGGCGTAGACTTTGCGGTAAGCCTGATTTGCAGCTGGGCCAGAGCTACAATCCTCATATCCCCCATTAGGGTGTGGCCAGTCACCCAGCAACCACATACCACCATCAGCTACGGAGCAGTTAAGGCATTTCCGGGACAGCAAAGGGTTTATTTTTGTGTAGGTCATATCTGCACTGAACCATTAGTGGAAAAATTATTGATTTAACAGAGTTAGTGATATATATTTATTATGACTGCATTCCAGGTCAAAAACCTTACTGGGATATTCAAAAATAAAAAATTATGCTTAGTTTTACCTGAAATGAAAAAGACATTGATCCATGCTTTTTCTGAAAATATTCATGAATGTAGAGAGATCTATCTTCCAGCCGCTTATCCTGGACCTGGGTTCTGTGCCAGGCAGTATGGGGGGGGTCTGTCATAGACATACAATCCTACACACTTTGGGGGCAATTCAGGGAGCGCTGCAAACCACAGTATACTGGGGGCACAAGTAAACTCCTCCCATAGAGCAGGGGTGGGATCTGAACCCCAAACCTGTAGGTGCGAACTAATAGTGCCTCACAGTCATCCAGCTAAATGTATGGCTACCTCATGTCATGTACCTAAATGTCAAAATATATATTTTTTCTTTTCTCCAATTTGTTATCAAACCAGGTATCTCCAAACCTGGGGCCGATGAAGCAGATTTAAATGTAGAAACTGAGCAGAGCAACTTGAAGACTCATCATACGGGAACGAGGACGTCACCACTGGCGCTGATGTCCGGGCCGAGCTCCCCTGAGCCTCAGCTGCCCCGTGTGAGAGTCACTGCATTAGGGAGGCTGCACAGTGCTGAGATGTCCGACTCCCACTCAGCTCAGCACCCTTCCCTGGACCAAAAGACGATACATGATAAAATTTGCTGTTTTATTTTGGTTTTGGAATTAAGTTTCCATGTGACCTGTAGCTATGTTTTTGTGAACAGATTCTCAGCAGTAAAATATTAAGATTATACAGATAATCTAGTTTCTTCTCCACATTATTTTATGACATGAAGTACATTTCACACATTAAATGATGTGTGAAAGTGGTCAGTGTGCTTGTCTCACCTGACACTGCCAGCAGCAGTGAGAGAGAAAGGCAGGGGAGCAATAACTGACACCTAAGCACAGGAGAAATATCCTGCCCGCCCCTGTCGCACTGCACGCCCCCTGCTGGCCATGTACGTAACACACCTGAACACCATGCACACTGGCTTATAGGCATTACAGACCTTCTGTATTTAAAAAATATTTTGTGTATTTCCTGACTGTTAAAAATTCCAAATTCAAGCTGGTTAAATTGAATTATCTTTGTATATTGAGCAGACAATGTTTCACATATGAAGTTGATTAATTAAATGCATAATTGTTAGCCTAAATGGTCATTTTTTGTCTTTAATAACAGTTTTAATAATTTTATTGTCTGCATAAAATAACATTAAAGTAACATTATTTCCAGAAAAGAACAGGAGTAACAACAGCGAAGAACGCAATGAGCAAAGCTGGGGTCAGTGAAACTGCCATATATGCATATTACTCAGCAAATGAAATAAAAATAAAAAAAACTCTTAAGACTGTGGCACTTTTTGAGCTGCTTTTCCTCTGCCTGAGCACAAACTAAAATGCAGTAAAGCATGACACTCTTGGGCTGTCTGGTTTCTTCCCTGCCAGACAGTGCAGAGAAACCATAATGCCGGCTGTGATGACCAGCATCACGCGAGCAGGCAGGAAGCGGGGAATCACGAGTCGGACAGACTGATCCAAATACGGGGTTTTAATGGGGATAAAACGGACTAGACAGGACAGCGCAGTACATCTGTTAATGACAGATCTGGGTAAACTAAACAGGCAAAATGGGAAACAGCTGGTTACAATCAGGGTTTCACACGAGGTAAATGAGGGGCCGTGGCACACAGGAGGATCGGACGAACCGGGCGTGACACCGGCGTCCTGGCATAGGTCTTTAGCTGAGGATGCATTCCAGATGTTCCTCATGGTCCTCATTAGAACAAAAAGGGCAAAGATCATGGAGTAACAAACAGACACTAACGATGCCAGTAAATGTATCTCCAGAGAAAACTGCAAGACTGTTAGAATGTCTCCTCTGAGATGTCAGAGCTCACAGCAGGAAGGCGAGACTAGCCGAAGCATCCTGCAACAAGGGCAGATTCTCATGGACTTCTGTGTGCAGCCACATTCCAGCAATCGCAATCAAACTTGAACTTATGTATGTGTGTGTTCAGTACCTATACTACATCCCAGAAGGATGTATGTGTGTGTTCAGTACCTATACTACATCCCAGAAGGGTGATGTGTAACCAGTTTGGTGCAGTGTTACTTTTTAGTAGTCAAAAAATATACGAAATTGTCACGGAAATGGGGCATGGCGCAGGCAGGAAAAGGAAGTGCCAATCCTGAGACACAAAGGGGGTTTATTACGGAAACTAAATTCTCTGGATAAAACTACAAAGGAAAGGACCACGAGGGGTTAAAATAGGGAAAACAGCAGCTAGTTACAAGAAATGACAAGGAAACAAGGCAACACAGGAAGCAGGAACAGGCAAGGGACCAAAGCACACACTCATACTGCAGCACAGAGTAACATCTAACCTACAGACACAGTGAGCAACTAAGGAGCTGAACTAACACATTATACAGTATGTTATTATATATTACTTATACAACAGCTAGTTCCGACCAAGAAATCTGATTGGACAAGGGCTGTTCTATGAGCGTGGTTATCAGAGTATAACCGCACTCGGACATTTCACATCAGCTGCATTACTCTGCTTTACAGGCGTATCTAAAAACCAGTACACATGTCTCATTTCCACCAACATGAAGCTGGTACTGGGCTGATTCTCCCTTGGTGCCTTTGGAGAACCTGCCCAGGATTCCACCTGTTTCAAAAATGAACGTTGGCGGAAGTGAGAGTAAAGTAAAGGTTCATATTTATACTGTTTTGTTAGGTTTATTTTGATCTGTTTTGGATTTTAAGTTTTTATAAGCTGGCAAACCGAAAAAAAAAGTTTTCAGAGTATGACTCATTGCGCTGTGACTCAACTGCCTGCATGCACATTTGTCTCCATAAAGGCTCCGTGTGTGTCCCTTACAGTCCAGCGTCAGATGTCCTTGTGTTTTCCGGTCAGGTGCTTGTTGGAGTTGTAGTTGCCATTTTTTGCCAGCTATTGAGTCCTTTTAAAGGTTCATAATAAAGAACCCAGTGCTTGAAGTTGCCGCCTCGCTTCTTGTTCATAAGGTCCGCTAGGTGCCACAATATAATATAGTGATTATTATATATTAATAGTAATAAATACAATAGCAATATATAATTATATTGCTGGATGAGGACACAGTATCTGACCAGAAGATGACTTCAGTGACTTTATGCAGAGCTAGTAAATTGCTGTGTCACAATTTACCATCTGTCCCACCTAACCAATATTCATCCTACCATTACTGTTTTTGTTACAGTTTTTACTTTCAATATTTATGCATATAAAAAATGTAAATAATATAAATTACATTTTTAAACACGGACAGTAAAACATACACAAAGGAATATAACTAACTACCTAATTAGTGGGGAAAGATTCATACGAGTGGAATCTGCAATAAATGAATAAGTACTTTCAGACCTACATATCACAACAAGGACTCACAGCATTCAGGTAAAAACACATTTATTGTTTAATTTCAGGTGATCCATCCAGTACTTATAAAAACTGTAGAAGCTGGTGAGTGTGAGAGGAGTACCTTAGATACCTGGACCAAATGAGAAGGTTGTCTGGGGGATTCAATGCTGCCGTTTCTGACTGCACCAAATCTTGTTTGAGACATTTTTCTGAGTACAAAGGCAAGAATAACAGGCTGTGAGTCAGTATTTGAGGGTCAGGGGTTAGGGTCAGAATACAGAGGCAGGAAGTTCTTGCTCTTTTGGGCTCTGACAGCAGGAATGACAGGTCACTGTTTGTGCACCTCCGTTTAGGAAGCTGTGGGGCCAGTTGGGGGAGGGGGGGTTGCATGCTGTGTGGCCACCGATGGTCACCCCATTCAATATGCATGCTGATCTCTGTGGGATCTCAAATTACCTCTGGGTTGGAGGAGATCTTCTGATGCAGCTCTCAGTACTGACCATAGTGCTTAAAAGCCATTTTATCCAAAATGCTAAGCCTGAACAGACACAAATAGTCTGATTTCAAACCGCTCTGCCTCAATTGATGAGGTGCATGAAACTTTGACCTCTGGTCAATATAGAAGCATAACATTACACGACTCACATGGTACCTTTGTCCATCTAGGTTCTGGGTCATCTTTTCGTTCTCTGGTTTGTGTTAGTTTCTCCACTCACTGTTTGTTCTCTCTCAGGATTGGGTTATGGTATCTCGCCTCTGTTCTGTATCAGCTCTGTGTTATGGTATCTCTCATCTCTGTCTATTCTCTCTCAGCTTTGGGTTATAGTATCTCTGCCTTCTGTCTGGTATGTCTCAGTTTTGGGTTATTGTATGTCCCCACTGTCTGCTCTCTCTCAGGATTGGGTTATGGTATCTCTCCTTTCTGTCTGGTACCTCTCCTACTCCCACATTAGTTACTTTTCTGGTACCTACTCACAGCTGAACTGGAAATGTAATCGTTAGGAGGTCATGGCTTTGTCAAGCTTCTGGTTTAGAAAAAGCAGTGGTCCCTCCACAGTGCCATTTATTGGCAGACAGATTGTTCTGTGTCTTATTTGTTTATATTTGTGTGTGTGTGTATATATATATAAATGTTGTCCATATAAAAAATAGTAAATTTAAAGCAAATATTAAACAAAATAAAGTTACAGCAGCAAATACAGAGATTCAAACATAATAGAGAGTGCAAAAGATTATCAATATTTATATATTTTTACAGTTACTAAGTTTGCCTGATATGTGCAATACTAAATGAGAATAAGTATATGTCTCACTAATATAATATGAAATATATAACCACAAGTAATGAGCATTTTCTGAATGGAACATAAATGGAAAAGAACAGATGAAATCAGGATTTGTGTTCTGCACGCCCATTTGCAGCCCTAACCATAACCATATGCATTTCTGTGCCAGTTCATACTCCATTTTGCAAACTTATGTTAAAAAAATACATTTACTACAGCATAAGAAAACAATTTAATACTTCAATAAAGCCAGACAAAGACAGACAAAAAAATATAGATACAATTTTGTATACAGTAGTGGCCAAAATTGTGGAAACGTCAAATTTTTACTGATTGCAGAACTTTATTCAGCTACTGCAGCAGTTACCTATTAAATTATCCGAAGTATAATACTTCTAACAATCTTTGATTTTTTAATAAACATTACTGCCAATATTTATCTAGTAATTTTTAAAGCATCATGCCAAAAATGCTAGGTGTTTCCACACTTTTGGCCACTAGTGTAACTATAGCAACATGCTTAGAATAACATGCCACAAAACTGTAAAGAAATAATGCTGAATGATTTTTATTATTTTTATTATGGTGCTGAGTGTTTATTGTTTAGTATTCTTTATTGCATGAAATACTACTGCTTCTAATACATTTCATTATAGTGACCAAAATCTCCAGCCTTCCACTTGTGTTTTGTTTGCTCATAACACCTCCTGTGCACAGCAGGCCCTACGCAGCGCAGTCCGTATCCAGCAGGATGCTGAACTGCATCCCCGAGCACCTCAAGGCCGCCACAGAGCAGGCAGACAGGGCCATCCTGTTCTGCGTCTTCATCATCTGCACGCAGAAGCTGCGGGTGCCGTCCCTGAGGCAGTCCCGAGGGAGCTTACACTCGCATGTCGGCGAGGACAACCCTGAGCAAAATCAGACCGAAATGTATGGAAATGGAGTACAGCTACAAAACCCAGATGAAGGGCCAACAAGCCAACGCCCAGTCAAAGAAGGAACGGTCAGGAGAAGAGTTTAACTATAGCTAGCTGTGCTACAAGTGCACCAACTCCTTCCTGAGTTACCAGTGCTGCAGCTCCCATAAAAACATCAGCAGCAGCAATAATATCTGTAACAGCAGCAGTAGTAATAGCAAAAATATTATCAGTAACAGTAGCAATAGTAATAGCAGTAAAGTCAGCAGTAATAATAGCAGCAACAGCAGCAGTAATAATAGCAGTAACAGCAGCAGTAATAATAACAGCAATAATAGCAGCAACAGCAGCAGTAATAATAGCAGCAACAGCAGCAGTAATAATAGCAGTAACAGCAGCAGTAATAATAACAGCAATAATAGCAGCAACAGCAGCAGTAATAATAGCAGTAACAGCAGCAGTAATAATAGCAGTAACAGCAGCAGTAATAATAACAGCAATAATAGCAGCAACAGCAGCAGTAATAATAGCAGTAATAGTAATAGTAATGTTCTTTGTCTTACCGGTGCAGGTCTCCCAATCATAGCAGGTGTCATACCCACAGGGCTCCTGGACCCTGCTCTGATTGGACAGCCTCACTCTGAAGCGTGCCCAATCCCTGTGGGTCTCATCACTCGCACATGTTCCAAGCTTAATGAAGAACAGGTGATCGCCATGGCAGCGGCCAGCATAGAAACCACAGATGGACATCATTGTAAAACGATCCGTCTCAGCATCCAAGACACACACATCCTCGATGTACTGTCTGTAAAGCACAGCAAGCATGATACGATTTCAAAGTAAAGACCTGCACCATGCAGCCCTTCGAAATTTAAAATTTAAATTGAATTTTAAACCAGGCAACTGGCCGGCACATTCAGCAGTGCCACAGTCATGCAGGCCTCGCATTAAACTTTTCAGCAGTTTGCTATTAATGGAAAAGAGGCCGTAATTATAGAAGGAGTAGTGGAAAAGAAACGTGGAGACCACAAACTACACTGAAGGCGTAAAAAGATGAGTTTAACACACTAGCCAGGTTATGCTAGAACTCCGGGTTTGGATACACTGACATACTGCCAGGTTATGCTAGAACTCCGGGTTTGGATACACTGACATACTGCCAGGTTATGCTAGAACTCCGGGTTTGGATACACTGACATACTGCCAGGTTATGCTAGAACTCCGGGTTTGGATACACTGACATACTGCCAGGTTACGCTACCATCTTGGGTTTGGATACAATAACATACTGCCAGACTATGCTAGCATATCAGGTTTGGATACACTAACATACTGCTAGGTTACGCTACCATCTTGGGTTTGGATACACTAGCACATTGCCAGGTTATGGTAGCACACTGGGTTTGGATGCACTGACATACTGCCAGGTTATGGTAGCACACTGGGTTTGGATGCACTGCCTCCCTGAGACTCACCGGCACTCCTCCCTGGGTATACAGATGCACTGCACGCCGTCATGCTTCTCCCCCCTCCCACATCTGCTGTCAGGCACAAAAGGCTTCTCTGTGAAGGTTACATGAAGTGTGAAAATCAGTGTGAGGAGTGGGAGGATGATGCTTCTGGGGGTAAAAAAATCGTCACATACCGCTTTTACAGTGTAGATCAATAGGGAAGGGGGGGTCCCAGGACAGGTCATTCCCACAGGTGTAGTAACGCTGGGCGGAGGTGATCATGCCAGACCCTGTGCAGCGCAACGTCACAATGTCCCCAACACGGTACTCCACTCTCTCTGGGTGCAAGGTCATGTCCTCTGGCAGCACTGGAGCTAAACACACCTTCTCTGTAAGGCAGAAATAAACGCTCACCAAGCAGCCATGTCAGTCTATCAGAAAATCCCATAAGCTTCCTTTCTGCTCATATAAAAACTCCTTAAGCTTCATACAGAGTAGATAAGAGGTGCATACATGCCTATGCATACAGTAGGTATCACATATCAATAAGCCCTTTGAACCTTCTAGCATTATTAGCATCTGCTGTGACGGAGTGCCACACTAATTACTCTGGGGACTTGGGTTCACCAGTTTATATCCAGTGTAAACTCCAGTGTATTTGCACGTTTTTCTATTGAAAAGCCATACTTATGCATTGTCCGTCAGGCCTGGTCCACGTCCCATCAGGCAAGCATCGAACATACTGGTAACCCGTCATCTCAAAGCCAGTGAAGCAAAGGATCTCCTCCATTTCCCCAAAGTTGAAATGCTTCTTATTTATCTACGGAGGAGAGGAAGCAAGAGTTTTCACTGGAGCAGAAACTCTCACCAAGCTTCCTGTTAAAAGTGTCCCCGTTCTGTGCTCCCAGGGCAAGGCTACAGGGCCACTGTGACCATGTGTCAGGTACCTGCTCACATAATGTCATTTGATTTCCCTAAACAATGAACTTAAACAGAGAACTGTGAGGTCAGCCTTGAAGATCGTAGAGACCGAGCTACCCTCCATTGACTAAACAAACATCATTCACTACTGCAATGAAGCACAAAGGACCCAAAGCACATGTGGCCATAGGATTCTGTGAGCCCAGTAAGCAGGTAAGAGGCTCTGCAGCTTCCATAAGCTGTTCACATCAACAAGAACTGAACTGAACTATTAAATATTACAGCACTCTGCACTTTACGTGAACAATAAAGAAACTTTGTTACTCATCTTCACTGTGCTGCTGCATTTAAAGAATCATCTAGATCTTAGCACTATCAAAATGGTGAAAAGTTACTGACTTCAAGACCCAGCTGAGACGGCAAGTAATTCTGAATTTGACTCTGACTCTGTAGCTAATGAGCCACACTATAGCCATCGCTCACCCTCAGGTAGCTGTTTGGAGGTGCCTTAGGTCTGGAACACCCAGGTGAACCCACAGAGATCTCAGCGTCCGGGTCTTCTTTCACTGTTTCATCATCACTGACACAGACGTCTTGCCTGCAGGACAGACAGTGCAATGTCTGATGGAAATCAATACGCGGCCCTCCAGAGAGACCTGATGGACTGATTCAGAGCACCATCACATATGATGATATCTGATAAACTGCCAAATAGGATCCACCCTACTGCTGGAAAATGGAGATGAAGCAGCCTTCTTCCTGCTGGCTCCCCCCTGTACACATGAGCCCCCCCCTCATCGGCGCAGGGTTGTCACACTGTCGGACTCGACGCCTCTTCATGGACGAGTCACAGGGACTCCACGGCCCCCAGCAACTCCAGCGGCCATCCAGCACCTCTGGAAGGAGAGAATGGCTGCAAATATTGTATGTCTAGGGCAACAGCACACAGTGGCCCTGCTGTGCAGAAACACTGCACTTCAGATACACCTGAAGTGACAGCACATACAAACACTGCACTTCAGATACACCTGAAGTGACAGCACATACAAACACTGCACTTCAGATACACCTGAAGTGACAGCACATACAAACACTGCACTTCAGATACACCTGAAGTGACAGCACATGTCAGAAGTACATAGAAGGATTGCATCCAAAAACAAAAGAACAGGGGAGAGAACAAGATGAGCAGTACCTGTAGTTACACTAGAGGGGGGATAGGAGGTGTGGTCATGTGATAATTGAAAAGGCTAGTCATGTGACAATAGACAGGTACTGGATGGACCCAGAACAGAATACCGGAGGTGTAGTCTCGTGCCCGTTGTTCACAGTTGGGTCCATAGGTGCCGCTCTGGCAAACACACAGACACTCTGTGCCTGACAGCACAGATCGGGCATTGTTGGGGCAGGGGGCACACTTGCAGGAGTCGAACTCTTCCAGGTACTCCTGCAGCGCCCTCCGCAGGTGCCTGCGCTTCGTCACGGCACATGGGAGCCCACGCACCAGATCCAGAACAGGCAGGAGCTGGCCAGCACAAAGACAGAGTTTACCTAAGTACCATCCGTCCTTCGTGCTGGTGTCCATCCTGGATCTGCATTACAGGCTTTTAGCATTTTAGGAGCCAAGGTCTTGCTTTGATCTAGGCAGAGGTGGACATTTCAGGTCCAGAAAGTAAAAATCCAAACCAGGATTTCATTTCAACCAACCAGTTGAGCATAAAGAGTCACAGTCACCGAGTACTCAACTGGTTGGTTGACATGAAATCCTGGTTTGGATTTTTACTTTCTGGACCTGAAATGTTCACCTCTGGATCTAGGTGGCGCCACTTTGGGAGATGCAGACTGTCCAGAATAACAGTAGGGGATTGGCTGATGGGCTACTCACCTCATACTCCACCACGCTCGGGTTGTCTATGGTGGAGTTTACCCAGTTCCTGTACGTATTGCTGTCTGGAAGGACACCCTTCCTCTCCATGGCCAGAGAAGCAGCATATTCAGCCCTGCCCCCTCGTACCTTGGAGATTGACTTCTCTGATGCCTTCAGGAATGAACCTAGACAGAGGCAGCACGCGGGACGGAGTGGCAAACATTAATTGGTCTGAAGTTTGATGGACATTAGGGAAGGTCAATGATGTTTGAAACATTGGAGTCTGGATACCAGGGTTCCAAATTCAGGGCTCAGTTAAGGCAATGCTGACACGTACAGTTAGGTGTGAAACTGCACCATAATACTGCAGCTGCTGTGAGGAAGCAGGTGTTAAACCATCCAGCTATGTGATGTGTCATCCATCCATATCACTCTAAAAGTCTCATTAAGAAATACCTTCATATTTCTCAGACATCTTGTTCGTGTAGCATTTGTTGTTGGAACTTGAGACGGAGAAGAAAATGAAAAAGTGCCTTGCAGATTCAGACTGGACACAGCCACTGGATTCAGTTTCTGTGAGGCCTGGGGGGGAGGGGGCACAGTGCACACAAAGACACACTAGTGAGGCCTGGTGGGGGCACAGTGCACACACAAAGACACACAAGTCATTACCAATGGCTCACTCACCAGAATTTTTCAACTCCTCCCGGTCGTACTGGTACAGCAAGTCATACTGGCCTCCCAGTGATCCAGAGCTGAAGTAGTGAGTACCANTGTGAGGCCTGGGGGGGAGGGGGCACAGTGCACACAAAGACACACTAGTGAGGCCTGGTGGGGGCACAGTGCACACACAAAGACACACAAGTCATCACCAGATTCTCACTCACCAGAATTTTTCAACTCCTCCCGGTCGTACTGGTACAGCAAGTCATACTGGCCTCCCAGTGATCCAGAGCTGAAGTAGTGAGTACCAAAAAGCTGGAAAACCTGCCTGTAGAGGGCGTAGTTGTAGTCCAGTGGCAGGCTGTTGAGGACCCTCAGGAAGGGCTCAGACAGGTAAAGATCTGATGGTTTAGTCCTGAAGGTGGAGACACGTACTACCTGATGAATTCTGATGAATTTGGAGTCCTATGGGAGAGATGGACGTGACAGTCATCAGGAAGGTGATTGGCCAGCACAGCGACCTTTAAGGGGTGATTGGCCAGCACAGCCACCTTTAAGGGGTGATTGGCCAGCACAGTGACAGTTAAGGGGTGATTGGCCAGCACAGCGATCTTTAAGGGGTGATTGGCCAGCACAGCGATCTTTAAGAGGTGATTGGCCAGCACAGCGACCTTTAAGGGGTGATTGGCCAGCACAGCGACCTTTAAGGGGTGATTGGTCCGCACAGAGTTAGGAGAGAAGGGCGCAAACCTTTTGCTGTGAGGCCTTCACAGCTTTCCTGAAGGAGGACGACCCTTGTGAGCTCCAGCTGTGGCGGCTGGAGAACAGCAGAGGAATATAGATGGAGCTGCCCCAGTGTTGTGGAGCATCCTGGCTGAGCGACGACTCCTGTGACGATAGCTCCACAGGCTCGCTCTGGGCTGGCTCCATGTCAGTTTTGAAGTCTTCCACATGCTCCACCTGCAGAGGGCAGTATTATTTGGGTGAAAATGAGGTTTGTGGAGACATGATGACTGCCTCTTTCAGGCATGCTTACTGTACCTTCAGCTGCACACTCTCGATGTTTGCAGGCATGCTTACTGTACCTTCAGCTGCACACTCTCGATGTTTGCAGGCAT